TCTTATGAGATGTGTTTTCCCTTTTTTTTTTTAGTATCTATTACTCTTTCATTAAATTTTGGACAATTGTGAATTTTACCTTGCTTTGATACTAGATATTTTCATATTCCTATCAGTATTCCAAGGAGCTCTGATGGCATTATGCATGATGCACCGAGCTGCTAATCAAAAAATTGGTTGGTCGAGCCCACCTGCTACTCCTCGGGAGAAACTTGGGCAGTCTGTCCCCATAAAGATTTGCAGGTTCAGAAACCCAGGCAAGGGTCGCTATAAGTTGGACTCAACTCCTGGGCAGTAGATATTCTAGGGCTTTGCCCTGGATGCTGACTTTCTTGGACATAGTTGGTTCTCCTATACCAGAGTATCCTTTACTAGGACTAATTTTCTCAATTACTAAGCTAGTGCCCATCCAAGTATTCTACCTATTGAATGGCCTGTGATGTACAGAGTTTTCCTCTCTGACAGGTGCTTCTAGGACTCTTTCCAGCCCGCAGTGAGCTCTGGGGATTGCTCCCTCTCCTCCCTCTGGGTCGTTCTATCCCAGCTCCAGTCGTTGACTCACATACTGGCTCTGCTCAGTCCTCGTCTAGGAACTGCAGCACCCATCCTCTCTGTGCTCCTTGTGACCCTCTCCCCTCCCTGGTCCCCTGCCCTGCTGGCTCTACTGTCTGGCTGCCTCAGGCTGCGGAGTCCTGCTCACTCCCGGGGGCTGCCGGGCTCCATTTGGATTCCCTCTCCCTGAGCTGCTGCCTGGATACTTCTTCCCAGCCAGCCAGCCAGCTAGGGTGGTCGTAGGAATCATTGCACTTGCTTCCGCACTTTTCTGGGATAACTCTTTTGTGTTGCAATGTCTGAAAATGATTGTTTGATATCTTACCCCCCTTTTAAAAAATTTATTTAATACTGGTTTACATAAAAGTTCATAAAATTCTTATACATTGTTTTTCACACCAGACCTTTCCCTTTTCCTTTACCAGTCCCTCCTTCCACCTATCAGTTGATGGGTCTTTTTGCCTTTTAATGGTTTTTTCAGGTAGGAAAGTAAATGCTGTTGTTTTGTCAAGTCTGGAAACAGAAGTCTCTAGGACAAGTATATGTTGATTAGTTCATAGTTATGAAAAGTTTCCTCTGCTACAGGTAAAGGTTTACAGGAATTATTGTCCTAGTTCCAAAAATCCACTTGATACACTGTCCTCAAATAGAGGAGGTATCAGATAGTAAACTGGTAAAACGGATAACACACTTGATCTTAGCCTTGATCTTGAACAAGAGAAGAAACAAGTTTGTCCTGGAGAGGGTGAAAGCAAGCGCTGTGACACTGTGTCTCACATACTTTGGGCATGTTATCAGTCCTTGAAGAAGGACATCATGCTTGGAAAGATAGAAGGTCAGCATAAGAGGGGGATGGATGAGATGGATGGACCCCAGATGAGATGGATTGACACTGTGACTGTGACAGTGGGGTCAGGTATGTCAGAGACCATGAAGTTGGCTCAGGATAAGGCAAAGTTCAGATCCATTGGACATAGGGTCACTATGAGTCTTAGTTGACTCGACAGAACATTAAAAAAGAAGACACACACTCTTTCTCTGTCTCACTGTATATATGAATGAAATACAATGTGTATGAATATGCATACCAGTGTTGTTGTTGTTGTTATGTGCCATCGAGTTGTTTGTGACTCATAGCGACCCTATGTACAAGAGCCCTAAACACCGTTCTATCCTGTGCCAACCTCGCTGTCTCAAACACATCCACTCCACTCACAGAATCGATCCATCTCATCGAGGGTCTTCCTCTCCTGCGCTGTCCCTCCACTCTCCATGATGTCCCTCTCCAAGGACCAGTCCCTCCTTGCAACATGCCCAAAGTATGTCAGACGAAGCTTCAGAATCCTTGACTCTAGGGAACATTCTGGTTTCACCCTCTCCAAGACAAACCTGTTTGTTCTCCTAGCAGTTCATGGTATAGTCAACACTCTTCTCCAGTACCACAACTCAAAGGCATCAATTCTGTGCATACCAATAAAAAGAAAAAAAAAACCTTAAAGAAAAATGCATCATTGTCACCTGTCTGCAGTGGCTCTACTTGGTGATTTGTATATGGCAGTACCTCTTAAACCCACAAGATGGTGATATTTCCATACAAAAGAGAGCCAGCTGCCCATTCAATTGTCTTTTTCTTTCCAGAGCAGATTTAAGTTTTCTTCTTCTTATGAAGATAAGAAAAAGACAAGATGCCTGCAGCTGGTATTTCTTCCCATTTGTGGAGTCTTACTCCACCTTGCCCAAGTTGTGGAAGAACTTCCAGTCAGCCTATGGTTGGAGGTACACTGTGCAGAAGCTTCTGATGTGACTTCCGGTTTTCAAATGTCCTATTGTAGCCTCTTGTGGTTTATGGGGCTCTGTCATATTTTGCCATGTCAGCTCCCATTCTTGGTGGGAATGTTCTGGTCCCCATGGAAAAGGCCCTGCTAGGTAGCTACTCAGGGCACACTTGAGTAGACCTAGGAAGGGCCCTGAGTATTGCAAAGGGTGTAATAGACTTAACACCCCATAGTATGTGTATCATAATAGTAATAATAGTATGTAGTACTGACGTGCTTTATTTCATCTAGATGTCATCAGACGAGCACTAAACAGACCCACTTAAGGTCTTGGGACCTGAAGAAGTATTACAGTGTTCTTGTCTCATAGATCCCATATGTTATTTGGAGCATATCCTAATCAAGTAGTTGTGTGTGTGTGTGCATGTATATACTTCTATATGTAGATTTAGAATAAGCTGTGATGAACTCTGTGAATGAAAAGAACAATTTTGTATAGAACAGGTGACACTTGTATTATTTCTATTAAAATGGAATTAGTTACTTTAGTTCTGGATTTGCATTATATGAGGGCCAAGGCTCAGAAAAGTTAAATAATATTCTGAAGGTCACAGGGCTAGAAGATGACATAGTGAGAACTTTGGGGCATCATATATCTGACTCTAAAGAATGTACTGCTAGAAAGTTGAGTTTCCAAAGATCTGGCTTATTGGTGAAGAGACTGACATTTAAATTCAACTTTCCCAATTATTTGTTCAGCATACAGATTGAATACATATGGAGAAAGAGTTTAGCACTGACACATATTTTTCCTGATTTTAAACCATGCAGCATTCCCTTTTTCTGTTGGAACAACTGTTCTTCATCTGTATGTAGGTTTTGCTTGAGAATAAGTAAATGTTCTGAGATTTATATTATTCTCAGTGTTATCCATAATTTATCATGATCAACACACTCAAATGCCTTTGCATAGTCAAGAAAATGTAAGTAAATATCTGTCTGCTGTTCTCTGCTTTCAGCCAAGAGTCATCTGATATCAGCTGTGATATTCTTTATGCTGTGACCTCTTCTGAATCCAGCTTGAATTTTTGGCAATTCCCTGTAAAAAACTGTTTCAAGTTCTACTTACTCATTTTTAAACTGTTTCTACCTCTAATCTATCTGTTATTATAATGCTCCAGTCTCAGTACCAGTTACTGTCTTAGTTACGTTGTGTTGCTATGAATGAAATACCACATAAGGATCTTTATGCTTGTTTATTTTTATTAAACAATGAGATTGGCTCAGGATAGAGCAAGGTTTAGAGCTATTGTACATAAGGTTGTTATGAGTTGCAGGCAACTTGATGGCATACAGCAACAACAATAATTATGTTATTACATTTATTTATATTATGCTTTAACTAACTGAAATTTTTTTCTCTTGCCATTGAAGAGGCTAGAAATGCAAATTCAAGTGCCAGCTCCAAGCAAAGGTATTTTCACTCTGTCAGTTTTGAAAGTTGGTTCCTGTTTCCTTCAGTTCCTGCAGGCCCAGCATTCCTTGGACATCTCCATGTTCTCTGTTGAGGAGTTTCCCGGGGCAGGGGCCAAGGTTCACAGGCTGCACTACCGGCCACCTCTTAGAAAACCCCCCTTCATCAGGTTAAAGCTGTGACCTCATTAAGGATGTTGTACCTTAACTGATTGATGACATCTCAGATAACATATTGGAAAATGACTATGTGATTAGTAACTGCTTCTGTCTCTGTCTCCTCAGCACCATCACAACCAAACCAAACATAGTATCTAGAGAAGAGAGAAAAACAAAAGACAAAAGAAAAACAAAAGCCAAACAGTGTCAGACTGGTTCTGACTCAAGAGGACTCTGTCAGGTAAATTGTCAGAAGTCCATACAATTTACAGGAGAGGAGTTCTCATCTTTGTCTTGTGGGTCAGATGCTGGATTCAAGGCAACAGACTTTCAGTTCTAAATATGACACTCAGCCACCAGAGGACCTTAGTAATATCATCGAGGTTATAGGTGAGGAGGGCTTACCGCTCTATTACGTTATACTGAATCATGGCCTCACCAAATTGAGACCGGTTTCTGGTGCATAAGCCTGCTGATGACACTAAATGGATGTTTGACCCTCCACTCAGAATTATTTGGAGATTACAGAGATGAGTGGCTCTGTCTCTGAAGCCACTAGTGCTTGTTTTGGTTAGAGTTTAACCTTAGGCCACTTCATTGTTGACTCTTCGTTCCTTTTTGCTGATTTGCACATGCCTTTCAACAAATTCCATTTTCATAGATTTTCTCCTTTAAATGTTCAGATTTCAGCTAGATACAGCAGCTCCAACACTCTTCAGAGGGTTTACAAAGGCTGAAAAACATACCTTCTGGTAGATTCACTATTCAACTGGAAGAATTTACCCTTAGAGGAAGGCAACAGAAACAAACACATAGAAGTGAAACATTTTCTACTCAGGACAAGAAGTACTGCAGTAGGGACTGTAGTTTTATTTTTGGCCTCTTCTTCCATTAATCTCTCTCCCAGGGATTCTCAGATCTTCAGATTCCTTTAGCTCATTCCTTTAGCACATTCATTCCTTCTGACTTTTCCTATAGTCAGGATCAAGCACTTTCCTTTGGAGCCATGTCATGATGCTGTATTTTATTTTATGTTTTCAGGAGCAGTGGAGGCACCTGGATTCAACTCAGAAGGAGCACTACTGGGACCTCATGCTGCAGACCTATGGGAAAATGGTTTCAGGAGGTGAGGGTGGTTTACCCACAGGGAAGGCTAAGAATTCTTAGGTGATGTCCTTGTTCTTTTAGAAGTATATAAAGAACTTGAGTTCTGGGAGCTCTATTGGGTATACTGCATACAATAACTCTTTTATCTCCATGTCAGGCCTAAGAAGTAGAGATGTTGACTCATATTGAACATGATGAAAGTGTCACATCGAGTTACTAACTCTGTATCACATGCCTCCTAAGTGCTGGGTCAGGATGGAACTCAGTGTAGCCAGCTTGGAGTTCACATTCTTTTCCATTAGACCACACTGCCTCTCCCAAAGGAGGATGGGCTTCAGTCATAACTCTAGAGCCAGCCTGCGTGGTAGTCTGCAAATCCATCTACTGTTGCAGACTGCTTTTCCTCCTTTTCAGAATATTTCCTGGCATATTGTAAGGACTAGGCTGACATGCCACATGTCCTTCTAATATGAATGTCCTGTCATGAGGTCCAGGGCTTTCATGGTTCTCTTCAAGTTGGTTAAGAGGATCCTTTGAAAGACACAACAGGCACTCCTAGTCCTTCCTGCTCACACAGGCTCACAAGCTGATCTCTCTCTGTGCCAGGCACTTCCAGTCCCAAACCTGACCCAGCGAATTCAGCACAGTATGGAGAAGAGCTGGCTGGGCTCCCCCTTCATGCCACTGAGAAGATGCCAGCATCCATCTGCAGAGGTGAATCAGCTTCCGTTGTTCCTGAGACATTTCTGGCCTTCCTTTGTTGGGTGGGTGTGGTGGTGGACATGGTAAGTCTTTGGTTTCTAGTACTTAGTTACAGCTAGGCTTGGATGGTTAAGTTTAGTTGGAATATTGAAGTTGGATCTCCTGCACTTGCTTATAGGACTGTTGACACATGTATTTAACAGTAGAAGAGTGACCACACATTGATCTGCTCTCCATACTTCTCTGAAAAACAGTTGTAATAGCTTTTCTTCAGTAAGAATTATAATTAGTACAGTTTGAGACTGATACAAATATGAGTTGTTGTTAGTTGCTATTGAGTTCAACTCATAGTGACCCTGTGAACAAAAGATAAGAACTCAGTCCTGTTCTGTGCCATCCTCACACTTCTGACACAGAAGAGCCTCTTGCAGCAGTCACCGTGTCAGTCCACCTGGTTGAGGGTCATCTTCTCCTTTACCGGCCCTCCACCCTTCTCAACATCATGTCCCTCGCCAAGGAATAGTACCTCCTAGCAACATGTCCAAAGTATGTGAGGCAAAGCCTTATCATTCTTACCTCCAATGAGCATGCTGGCTGCACCCTCTCCAAGACTCATCTGTTCGTTCTCTTGGCTGTCCATGGGATGTTCAATGCTCTTCTCCAACACCACAGCTCAAAGGCATCAGTTCTTTTTCTGTCAACCTTATTCATTGTCCAGGTTCCGGATGCATAGCTAATAATAGGAAAGAGCATGGCCTGAATCAGACGTACCTTAGTCCTCAAACTGACATCAATACTCCTTAATAATTTGGAAAGGTCCCTAACTGCAGATTTTCCCATACCAGAAGAATGTCTGTTTGTACTTTATTGACTATGAAGGACTGTGGATGATGACAAGTTGTGGCTGACATTGAGAAAAATGGGAATCCCGAGCACTTGATTGTGCTCTTGCGGAACCTGAACCTGCATCAGGGGGCTGTTTCTAACAGAGAAGGGGAACACTTCATGGTTTGGAACGGAGAATGGAGTATGTCAGGGTTGTATTCTATCTCCATACCTGTTTAATCTATATGCTGAGAAAATTATCTGAGAAGCTGGACTCTTTGAAGAGGAGTGTGGCATCAGGATTGGAGGGAGACTCATACATAACCTGAGTTATGCAGATGACAGAGACTTACTTGCTGAAAGTGAGGAGGACTTGAAGCGCTTGTTACAGAAGATCAAGGAATGCAGCCTTTAGTATGTTTCAGTATCAAGAAAACAAAGATTCTTACCACTGGATCAATAGGCAATGTCAGGATGATGAAGAGGGGATTGAAACTGTCAATAGCTTCATCTTGCTTGGATCCACAATTTACTCTTGGTATGAGCAGTCAGGAAATAAGGAGATGCAAATATGAGTAGGATTCCATTTCTTTATTGGTATGACTATTCAAACTTTTTTTTTAAAGTTTAGACCTCTTTTATTTTAAGAAATATTGCTTCTAGACTTGCCTGAAGCCAGAATTGTTCCATAAAAAGTATCACAGAATATTATACAAGATTAAAAAACATAATATGCTTCCTAGTAACTTGAAACCTTTTTATAAAGAACATCATTCATGACCATAAATAGATTTATTCTGCCATTCAGCTGATGACACATATAACTGATAAACAGTTAATTTCAACATATATACAGTCTATGATAAAGACTTTCTTAAAGTTATCAAAGATTCACCTGTAACAAATTAAATTGTCTTAAAAAGAGTTGACGTTTAACACTTGAAGAAAACATAATCACCTATGCATTTGAATGAAATTATTGTTAAGCAAAAAAAAGGAAAATTATTTTTCTTAGAAAGTTGAATAAGGTAATTTTAACGCTCTCAATGAGGTAATAATCCTTTAATCCTTTCACCAATATTTAAAAATATAGTACAAAATAACAATATTTCAAGAATGTAGATTTTCAGAACTTACTTTGAATTATGTCTCAAAGCCTTTTCTTATTCTACTTGTAATGAACAATAAACGACTCATGTCTTTCATAATTAAACAACTAAACTGACAGAAGGAATGCTTTATGCAATTCTTAACATTCATTATCAATAACAAACACTTCACATAAATCATTCACTTTAATACTGGACAAGAAACCTGGGCTTGGTCTGTCATGAAATATCAATCATCTTTCCCCTTCTGTGCTCTTTCTAAAACATTATAGGTCAAAAGAACCCAACTGTCAAACATATGCATTCCTGCAAACCAATAGGAGGCTGTTTGAGCTCTAACCAGGTACCTCAGGATAAAGACCCACTGATCTACTTCAGAAATATCATCACTTGAAAATTCTAGGCAGCACAATGCTATCCTGATGCTTTCAGAGACTTTCTGAGTTGGAATTAACTCTGTGACAACTGGTATGGGTTGTGTAGACATTTACCACACATACGTATACATAGGGAGCTGTGGTGGCTTGGAGGTAAGGAGCTGCACTACCAATTTAAAGGCACGTGGCTGAATCTACCAGCTGCTCGATGGGAGAGAGATGGGCAGACTCCTTCCATGTAATTCACTGCCTCTGAAAACCCACGGGAGTGTTAGCTGTGAGTTGGTTCAGACTTGAAGAATACAAACAACAAATGTATACATATATACATACACACTTTACACATACAAGAAATCTTAGAACCATGAAAAAAACAAGAGAACTGAGAATAGAAATTGTGTGACAAGATGTTCTTTCTGCCCACTGTGAGTTAATGAACTATTCTTCTTTGCTAAAATATTACACAGTGACCCAGTATGAACTGAGATATGATTTTCATTTTAAGCAGCGTATTTATCATCATACTATTTCACAACAATTCTTTTGTGGCAGTTTTTTCCAAATGGGCTGTGAATTCACTCTACTAGGTTGTAGCACATCTTTTTTAAAAAAAGGAAATAGAAGATAGAAAATACGAGAATGTCTCAAATATAGTCTGGGTCAGTTGTTCATTGCTGTTGAATAAGCACCACCTCACTGCTAATCTCTCAGAGGGTTTTCAGAGGCTATAAGTCATGCTGAGGATAATGCCCATCTTTCTCCCATGGAGCAGTTTGCCACCGTCAACTACTTGCCTTTGAGTTGGCAGCACAAATTTGGGCCCAATGGGCCACCAGAGTTTCCTATGGTTCAGCAGCAAGTAGCGTTCTGTTTAAAATCTATGTGTGGGTACAGGCACATAGACCAATGGAACAGAATTGAGAACTCAGAAATAGACGCAGCTAACTATAGTCAACTGATATTTGACAAGGAAATAAAACCCATCAAATGAGGAAATGACAAGTTCTTCAACAAATGATGCTGGTAAAACTGGACTGCTAACTGTAGAAAGCTGAAACAGGATCCACATCTCATACCATATACAACAATCAACTCAAGGTGGATCAGAGACCTAAGAGCAAAGCCCAAGACCATAAAGTTCATCAGAGACAAACTGGGATCAAGCTTAGACAGCCTAGACTATGGTGTAAAGAATCTGCCAAATACAACCTGAAATGCACAATCTGGAGAGGATTAAATTGATGAGTGGGACCTTCTAAAAATTAAATCTCTGTGTGCATCAAAAACATTTTCCAACAGAGTGAAATGAAATTCTACTATCTGGGAAAAAACATTTGGCAACACTATCTCAGACAAGGGTCTCATATCAGAAGCTGACAGAATCTTACAGGGCCTCCACAAGAAAAAGACTGATAACCCAATTACAAAATGGGCAAAAGACATGGAAAGAATTTTCATAGAGAAAGATAATTCAGATGGCAAAAAAACACATGAAGAAATGCTCAAAATCACCGGCAATAAGAGAGATGCAAATCAACCACAATGAGGTAACATCTCATTTTAATAGCAGTGGCAAAGTTAACAGTACAGCAAGTAATAAATGTTGGAGAGTATGTGGAGAGATAGCAGTTCTTATATACTGTTGGTGGGATTGTAAAATGTACAACCCTTCTGGAAGTCAGTTTGGCGCTTCCTCAAAAAGCTGAACCCAGAAGTTCCCTACAATCCATCTATTCCACTGCTTGGAATATACCCTGAGAGAATGAGAATAGAGGTACAAATGGAGACTTGTACACCAATGTTCATAGTGTCGTTATTCACCGTCAAAAGAACATGGAAACAGCCCAGATGTCCAATCACAAACAAATTGATTGATAAGTTATGATACATTCATAGGATAGAATACGACTCAGCACACAGGAGCAATGATTTTGTAAATTACTACCTTACTTGGGAGGGACTGGAGAGCATTATGCTAAGTGAACTAACTCAATCCCATAAAGACAAATATTGTGTAATACCATTATTGTAGACTTGAATATGAGGATCCAAGGTGGGGGAGAGGGGAAGCAGAGGAGAGAGGATGGGCAGGGAGGAGGGAGTTTTAATCACAGGGTTGCACAGTTGGATGGGTTGGGGAGGGGTCATAAAAGAAATGGGAAAGATCTGGTGTGAAAAACAATGGAAAAAAAATATGGCTGTGTGTGAGTACTGTATTTCAATATAAATGTATGGTTTTTATTCTTATAAAAGAGATATATAACATAGCATTTGCTAGCTTAATGTTTTTCCATGTGCACCATTTCATGACATCATTACATTAATCTTGTTGAGCAGCTATCACTCATACCTGCTGCTACATAGCCCATCACCAGAGAGAGCAACTCAGTGATTCCTAACATAATTGTCTCTCTGTGTTTTCCTCATGCTCCTGGTATTCACTAATAAATTTTGGTCCCTATACACTTGCCTGTCCTAGATACTTCATGTGTGTGATCGTGTAGTATTTGTCCTTTTGTGATTGACACATTTCACTCAGTAATGTTTTCAAGGTCCATCCATTTGGTGTAATGTATCTGGACTACATTGTTCTTAATAACTGAGCTGTATCCCATTGTATTGAACATTAGGTTCATCCATTTATCCTTTTATTGATATTTTAGTGGTTGTTCTGCACTTTGGCTCTTATGAACATTGCTGCAGTGAATAGTTGTGGATGTATGTGTTACTATGTTAACAGTCAGACAAGTGTGGAAATACAGCATTAGAGATCATTGCTTGAGACTTACACTGTTGTATATAGGAGGTTATGTCTTCATAAATACCTGCTAATGTCACTCCATTAGCTCTTTACTGAGACTATGGAGAATCTAAAAGGCATGGTAGAAGTTCATAGAGTGGTTTAGGATAATGAATTTGACTTCACATACAGGTTAGATTTGAATGGAAATGCATAAAGGAAAATACCCTTGTGGGCGTTCGGTATAGGAATCCAGGTCCCAGGAAGAGAAGTAGCAGAAAACAGCATGAATAAGGACTTTTTGAAAGAAGCAGTAATTACCAATAATTTTGAAAGCAGTTGTATTTGAAAGTAATAATAATTAGTAAATGACTACAGTCCTCAATATGGATTGAAGCTCCACATCAAGAGGACAAAGATTCTCACCACTGGGCCAATTGGCAGCACCATGATAGATAGTTAAGAGATTGAGATTGTTAACAATTTCAGCTTAATCAACACTCTTGGTGTCAGCAGCCAAGACAAATTACACTGGAAAAATCTTTTGCCAGGGACCTCTCTGGAGTGCTAAAGAACAGCAGTGTCAGTCTACAAACCAAGAAGTGCCTCATCCAGGCCATGGTCTTTGTAATTACTTGCTGTGCATCAGAGAGCTTGACAGTGACTTTATTTTTAAGTTGTGGTGCTGGAGAAGAGCACTGAACAGACCATGGACTGCCAAGAGAACAAACAAAGCTGTCTTGGAGAGGGTAAAACCATGCTGCTCCTTGGAGGCAAGGATTTTGAAGCTCCATCTCAAATACTTTGGGCATGTTACTAGGAGGGACCAGTCCTTCGAGAAAGGCTTCATGCTTAGAAGGGTGGAGAGATGTCCGCACAGGAGAGGGAGACAGGATAAGATGGGTTGACACAGTCACTGGGGTGATAGGGGTTGGTGTATTGGAGGCAGTGAGACTGGCTCAGGATAGGGCAGAGTTCAGAGCTATTGTGCAGGGTCACTGTGAGTCACAGTTGACTCTATGACACATAACAACAACCACAACCACCAGTCTACCAGGCTGCACTGGTAGCCTAGTGGTAAGAATCTGTGCTGCAATCCTGAAGGCATGCAATTTGAATCTGCCAGTAGCTTTGTAGGAGAAGAAGGTTATTCTCCCAAGCAATGGCGCACACACCACCAGCCAGGTCTGGACTGGTACGCGGAGCAGCAGCCACCAGAGAGAACCCGTGTGCTATTTGACTGACCTTAGTGAAGAAGAGTTTGTTGTTAGAGCAAGCCAGCAGCAGAGAGACCCTCAGGGGCTATTGTGTTGTTGTTTGCCATTGAGTCAGAACCAACCCATAGTGGACCCTCCAGTGGGTTTTCAGAGGTAGGAAACCTCATGAGAGGAGACTGTCCATCTCTCTTCCTTGGAGCAGCTGGTGGATCCAATTTTGTGCCTTTGGGATTACAACACAGCTACTGACTGCGAGGCCAGCAGAAGTCCATTGAGAATGTAGGAATTACAATTTAAAACTATGAAAAACCACTTTTGACCTAACTAAGTGGCCAATAGAGAGCTCATGATGTATATAGCCTGAATCCAGCCACTGATAACCAAAAGGCTGAGAGCTTTTCTGGGGTTTGAATCCACTAGACATTGAGAGAGAAAGATGAGCAGTCTCCACCGGGGTGATTTACAGCCTTGGTAACCAGATGGAGAGTCAGCTAGGAGTCAGAACCAGCTTGATGGCAAAGAGATTTTTAAAAAAATGGCAACATAAAAAAAAAATCCCACTTAGAACTTCAGTATGAAATACTTATGCCAGAAAATGCCATAGTTATTCTGGAAATTGTTTTGATAGTCTGTATTAAAAACCTTGGTCCTTGGATAGAAGGAAACAAAGTACTCACTCAGCTGCTCTGAATGGTTGGAAGTTTGAGTCCTGGCTACAGTTTCTCTGAAGAAATACCTAGATAATATCTTTGTGAAAAACTCAGCCACTGAAAACCCTGTGGAGCCCAGCTTATTCTGACAAACATAGCACAGCATGCATTGTAGTAAAGTGCACAGCAGTTGGTAACTGGTATCCAGAGCTTTACCATGCATGTGCAGATGTGTAAAGGAGACACAGTCCTTCCACTGGGAGGAAACTCTTAAGATATTCATCACAAACCAGACAAAAGAGTACAAAGAAAAACTGAGTACAGCATTATTAATAAAAGGAAAAACTCAGAAAAGAACTTAGTGTTCTACAGAATTCATAAAGAAGTTATGTGTAGTGTATTTTTCTGATAGATCGTTATTATTAAATCCCTAAAAATTATAAAGACATTTTTAATGAAGGAGAATGTGTATGTGCACTTTAAAAAGAAGTTGTTTAGATAGGATTAAAAAGATGAGAAGATACTTGGAGTTTTTAATCACTGGGGTGTGTGATTGAGGTTAATTTTTATTTTCTTCTGTATATTTTTATACCTCTTCAAAAATTATTTAGTGATGTGTCTCTTTTACATATAATCAGGTAAGATTGATCAGTTGTTTAAGAAAAACAGTATGCCTCTAAAATCCTCTTTTTCTCTGAGCTTTAGAAGGTCTGTGCTGTCTATGTATAGAGGGTTTACCTGTGACCCTGTTTTGCTGTTCAGAACTTTTCCTCAGTTCCAGAGTTGAAGAATGTATCCTGTGGTGCAGAGCAAGTGAGTGTAGTGCCAGGTCTTCAGTATAGGTGATGTCTTCCCCCCAGCTCATTACTGCACTCTTGGTAAAAAGAATCCATGTTTTATGATGCTCCTCTACTCGGCATGTGAATGAGAAAACAAAGTGTAAAATTTATTGAAGTATTTCACATCTTATTTCATGTTTTAGGAGACAGACCGGAGGGCGACAAAGAAAACCTAAACCTAAACTTGGAAAATTATAAGGACCAGGAGCCTCCAGATGCCCCTTGTCATGTCTCAGGAGACGCCCCTCCTCAGGGTTCTTTGAGTGGCTTTTTTGGTGAGAATGAACAAAGATGCTTTGGAGAAGGAGATGATCTCCCTAAGGTACTGGGACACCTTCAAGGTGAGGAGAGAGGACAGGAATGTTCTCCTCAAGGAATGGGTTCTAGGAAACAGCTGGACCAGCATTTGCTTGAGTCTCATCCAAGAGACCTGTCTGTGCAATGGCTGGAGCAGAAGCAGGAGGCCCCCCACAAGGACCAGCTGAGGCCTCCCGCGACTCAGAAGCTCCCCACCTGCAGAGAGTGTGGGAAAACCTTCTATAGGAACTCTCAGCTTGTGTTTCACCAGAGAACTCATACTGGAGAGATGTATTTTCAGTGCCCCACCTGTAAGAAAACCTTTCTGCGGAGTTCAGACTTTGTGAAGCATCAGAGAATCCACACAGGAGAGAAGCCTTGCAAGTGCAGTTACTGTGGAAAAGGCTTCAGTGACTTCTCTGGATTACGCCACCATGAGAAAATCCACACAGGAGAGAAACCCTATAAATGTCACCTCTGTGAAAAGAGTTTCATTCAGAGGTCTGACTTTAATAGACACCAGCGGGTCCATACAGGAGAGAAACCCTATAAATGCTCCCACTGTGGGAAAAGTTTCAGCTGGAGTTCGAGCCTTGATAAACATCAGAAATCCCATCTGGGAAAGAAGTCCTCTCAATAACCAAACTCTTACAGTCCCTTTCTGGCTCTCAGTCTAGTGATAAATAATGAGCGTTTGGAATCACCTGCAGAATTGCATCCATTCTGTCTCTTCTGCCTACTTTCATGGATTGAAGGAGAACCTACAACTGGCTTTGAACTTGGAAGCCAGATTAGGCTCCCAGGTTGGATTTCATACCAGCTTCATGTCTTGCTTCTATCTCAGGGGAAAGAATTCTCTTCCTTCAGCTCATCGCTCTGTTCAGAGACCTCTGTTGAGCCCCTCGGAGTGTGTGTGTGGGAGAATCATTCAGAGATTGAGCTATTTTTGTTGTTGTTTACCATTGAGTCGGATCCAACTGGCATAGGAGGCGACTGCCTCTCCTTCTCCAATTGAGCATCTGGTGGATTTAAACTGTGCACCTTCAGGATTGTAGTGCAGCTTCTTGCCACTAGGCTACCAGAGCTCTCTTGAGATTGAGCTTTGGTAGTGTCATCTGGAAAGAGTGCAGCAGAACAACTGTAATTACTGTTCATGGGAATAACATCAGTTAAGCTCTTTATAACAATGATTCCAGGGCTTATCTTTCTGGTACAGAAGAGCAAGCAGATATAGAGGACTAGGGAACTCTTGTGTGCTCTTTGACATATGGATAAAAGGTGAACTTGAAGTGTCCTTTGTTCAAATAAACTAAGTAGAGTCACTTGTCATTTTGTTTGAGTCGTAAATGTTCACTGTGTGTTGACTTTCACCCTAAGTGCGTTTTCTTACAGAATATCCCAAGGGGAGCTCAACTTCGAGGTGATCCTCTGTAGGCCTGTCAAGTGCAAAGCAAGGCCACGACACCACAGAGCTGACCTATATAGGCCAGGATGTGAGAACCTGGCCAGTGCCACTCAGAGATGTGCCTCAGCTTGCTTTCTTTTCCCAGTTTTAAAGAATGGAAATCTATTTTGTCATGGTTTAGGAGGCTAAGTCCAAATCAAGGGCACTGGCTCTGGGGGAAGAAACTTCTGGGAGAAGATCTCTCAATTACTGTAGACAAGGCATGCATTCCCCGATTCCCTGGCAGTCTCCACAGCACGTAGATCTTCCCGTCCATTTTACAGCTTGTTCTCTCTGTGCCCACTGCTGCTGCCCTTCAAGCTGTCCTCTTTATCCTTTTACATTCTTTGACAATTACTTTTTGCCCAAGTTCTGTGTACTTTAAAAATGATCTTTATTACCTAATTTTGTCTGTAGGTATCAGAAAGTAATAAATAGGATTGATTTCCTAGTATTGCCTAGAGGTTTCTTAGCACTTATATTGAAATGGAACAAATGACCTAGTCCTCTAAAGTTCCTACTGAAATGTATCTTCTAGCTCACATGTAGCAAGGCTCCATTTTGCTTTTTTTTAAAAAAAAAAATTCTTTTATTTCTTGCAGTTCTTTTTTTTAAAATTTTATTCTGATTTACCTACAAAATTTGTCCATATTGCCCCTCACACTATATTCCCCCCCCCCATACCCACCATCCCTTCATTCATCATATGCCTGGCGATCGTATGTGCCAGGTTATGCTCTGGAAAGAAGTTGCTCATGAGGAAGACAGAAGTGCCGACCTGACAAAGGTCATCTTACAGGTACAAAACTGCACAATGTTGACAAACCACAGTAGAAGTGAGTTACTGGTTAATGGGAGCAAAGAGTAGAAAACTCAAATTGGAGAATATCCTCATTGTCAGGAGGAATCAATTAACTCTTGTAGCGTGAAAATGAGGAAGGGTTGTAGGAATCACTGGGGTTGTATGCAGTAAGGACATTGAGTAGATGGCATTAGACCCTGTGTGCTTCATTCCAAAGATCTGTAAGGTGTTTGGATTTGATTTTTCCCCCCTGGATTTGATTTTTAAATTCTCAAAGTGTGGTTTCCATACCAGCAGCAAGTGCAACAGTACTAGATAAGGCCTATTTATTATTTCCTGGTATCTATAGAGTAAAAATTGAGGTAATGAGGCATAGAATACTTTGGCAGAAATGATCACTGAAGAATCTCAGAACAAAGAAGCCAGCTTGGGGACTTACTTGAACCTGAGACCTACTGAATCAGTCAGTGGTCGTGAGTAGTGGGGCCCAGAAACCTTTGTTTAGCACGCCATCTGGGGAACTGTGATGCCTACCTAAATGTGTGAACCACTGATTAGATGGTGACCGATTAAAAAATAAATCTCTGCTAGAATATGAGGGAATAAGGATCCTAGAAGGAATGCTGGCATTTTCGAGCATTCTTACAAACAAGCCTAACATGTTTTATAGAAGAACACTGAGACACCATAGACTGAAAATTTTAGAGAAAGATTTCTTCTTGGGTCCGTCTTAATGACGTGAAGGATGACAGAAATAAAGGGAAACAAACCTTTCTATTTCACAGGAGTATCCTCAGGAAATAGTAGATGTTTAATAAAAGCCTATTTAATGGACATGTGAACTAGTGAAGGATAAATACCACACTTAATCCTTCTAATCCTGTAGATTAAGCGTACTCAGTCTCATTTGTTTCCATGTTTTCTAGGACTGCTTTGTAGCTACAGAGGAAGAATTGAGTATTTGGTAGATTATATGGCTGAAGGGAACCCTCTGTGACCCTTTACAGAAAATAATGGGCTGACACCTGGTCTGCAGTCATGTTTCTCAAACTAATGTGTGTTCTGGTCACCTGGGAAGCTTGTTATGGTGCAGATCCTGTTTTATGGATGATACTGATAGTCCAGGGACCACAAGGACCAACTCGGAGTCGGAGCACTGAGAATATTCTTTGTTATGGGTTTCTCCATCTTTTATGAATGCCATTTTCAAAGACTATACCAGACATAGTTGAAGGATAAATAAATCCTTTTATTAGCTAGATTTCAATATAACTAATATCTCCTCTAATTCATAGGCCCATACTTTTCTAGCTCAGGGTCTTAAATGTGATTTTAGTCTCTTTTTCAAGGTCTCTAGAATTTCATAAAATTGTGAGTGCACTGTTTTGTGTATTTCTAAATATCTGAGGCCAACTCTTGTCCACTTTTCCCTTGGGTGGCCGTCAGCCCAGCCTCCCTCTTGCTTTGTCAGTGACTCTGTAGACATCTAGATCTGGAGAAGCAGGGCTACTCCAGCGAGAAGCCACTTGGATGGGGCCTCCCTTCATTTTCAGGTTGAAAGTCCACACGTAAGTGGGGCCCCGCTGACAAGTCTTGTACAGAGGGCAGGGATAGACGCTGCGGCAGTCCTGCTTGTCCACAGGAATGGCTTTGATGAACATCACTGGCATAGGGGGTGTCAGCTCTTTCAGCTTTGCTTCTGTAATGATCCCAGCCTGAGGACAAGAACATGAGAGGTGCGGTATTAAATCAGACCCAGAGCACAGCCTGCCAGCCTGTTTCTCAGAAGCTCCAAGAGAACAGAGACCAGGATGGCCTGAGTTACATGCCTCTTCACCTCTGAGGTCTCTCTAAAAAGCATGCCATGAATTACAGAAAATGTTTCCATCTTTCTTCATGCTAAACAGTTTCTTGAGGCATAGTACCAAAAGCTGCTATTTATCATTCATAGATTAATGCCTTTGGATGGCTCTCCTGGTTTTCTTTTTTCATTCATTCATTCATTCATTTCCTAGACATTGAATGAAACTATTCGCCAGATGACAGTCTGTGTTCTGGGGATTTAAACATGAGTAAGACATAGTGTCTGCCAGCAAATTCTTGGTTTTTTTAAGTAAGGTTTTGATTCTTTCCTGTTTCTGCCTCTTTTCACATGTGAACTTATCTACCCCCTTAAGCATTTGTATTCTCGTCAGAGGAAACTACATGCTATCTTTCCCTTTGTTATAACAACCTGGTCATCTGTTGCTTTCTAGATGGATCACCCCCCCCCCTTTTTAAAATAAAATTTTTATTTTATAATGGTTTACTTACAAAGTTTGTATACATTGTTTTTCACACCAGATCTTTCCCATTTCCTTTACCCAACCCTCCCTCCACCCATCAAATTGTGTGACCCTATGATTAACCCCTCCCATCCTATCCTACCCCACCCCCGCTGCCGATCTTCACCCCTCTGCTCTCATCTTCAGCTGCCACTGGGTCCTCATACATGTTCTACAATAATTGTCTTATACAGTATTTGTCTTTCTGGGACAGACTTAATTCATTTAGCATAATGCTCTCCAGTCCCTCCCAAGTTAGGTAGTAATTTACAAAATCATTGCTCCTGTGTGCTACATAGTATTCCATCATGTGAATGTACCATAATTTTTCAATCCATTCGCTTGTGTTTGGATATCTGGGCTGCTTCCATGTTCTTGTGATTCACCCCCTTTTCTGAGACATCTCAGTAAGTATATGTGGGACATTTTTCTGCCCATATGCCATGGACTGCCAGGTGAATAGTCAGGTTTTCCCTGGAGAGGGTGAAACCAGGATGCTCCTTGGAGGCAAGGATTCTGAGGCTTCATCTGACTTTGGGCATGCTGTAAGGAGGGACTAGTCTATCATACTTGGAAGGGTGGAGGGACAGCACAAGAGAGGAAGACCCTGGATGAAATGGATTGATTGAGTGACTGGGGGAAGGTATGTCAGAGACAATAAGGTTGGCACAGGATAGAGCAGGTTTCACGGCTACTGTACATAGGGTCACTAGGAGTCACAAGTGACTCCATGGCACTAACAACAACAACAACATTGTTAAATGTTTTAAGGAGAAATGAGTTCCTAGGAATCATCTTCAGAAAGGTGGTTACCATGTCCTTTATTTGCATCTGTGGTATATGCTAACACTCTGACAAGGAGAAGTTCATGTATGAATACAGCTGAGCCAAACTTTATCCAAAACTCTTTTTTAAAAAACATTTTATATTGTATTGCTTACAAAAGTCATATACATTGTGTTTCATTTATATACATTGTGTCTCATGCATTCCTCCATTCACACTGTGCTTCACATTATCTTTCCCATGTTGTTGTTGTTGTTATGTGCCGTCAAGTCGCTTGCAACTCATAACGACCCTATGTACAACAGCCCTAAACTTAGCTCTGTCTTGTGCCAATCACACTGTCTCTGACATCCCCCTCCCGATTACCCCAGTCACTGAATCAATCCACCTCATAGAGAGCCTTCCCCTCCTGCCCTGTCCCTCCACCCTACCAAGCATGATGTCCTTCTCCAAGGACCAGTCCCTCCTTACAACATGTCCAAAGTATGTTAGACGGAGCCTCAGAATCGTTGCTGCCAGGGAGGTGCCCGGTTTAACCCTCTCCAGGCAGAACCTGTTTGTTTTTCTAGCAGTCCATGGTACCCTCAATACTCTTCTCCAGCACCACAGCTCAAAGGCATCAATTCTTCTATCCTCCTTAGTCACTGGTGTTTTATATAATTAATCACCATTGATCCAGGCTCACCATTACCTCACCTTTTCAGGTCCCAACTGGATCATTCCTAATTCCTTATTCCCTTGCTCTGCCCACCAAACTCTGTGACCTCGATATGCCCCCCCCCCCCCCCGCACATTCCTCAGCCCCTCTGCTCTATTCTGTTCACCCTTTGGACTTTGGAACACATCTTATCAGTACTCCTTCCATTTATTATAATAATGTTCTTAAAGCAGTGTTAGTCCTTATGATACAGAGTAAGTCCCATTAATTTCATACTACTATTTTACAGAATACGCTTGGAAAATGTTTACCAAGGAAGATTCCTTATCTGTGTGCAGGTGCCTCTGAACCTCTTATGTTATGGACAGTTTGATTTATTTTCCATAAAACTGATTTAATGGAAAGAAAAGGCCTGTTTGACTGTGTTAGAGGCTGAGATATGGTGAATTCCAGAAGTGAGGTAAATAATGGTGACTCCAAATCCCATCATTTGAGCATTTCTGGTAGGGAGCAGGGTTAGCAGCTTTCTAACTTCAAATACTTCTAAAATGATAAGTCTATGATTTTAAACATAGTCAGTAACTTGAGCAACCATCTTGAGTATCTAACTCTAGGATATTTTAATCACTCCCTGAAAGGAAACTCTGAAACAATCAGCGGTGAAGTATAAAAATTCCGTCACTACTCTTGTTATATGTTCCATTATGTTTGTTATTGCTTCCTGTATTTTGGGGGCTCTTATGTTAGGTGCATATAGGTTTAAAATTTTTATAAATTCTTAAGGAATGAAAGTTTATAATAATACTTTTTTTCTTCCAGTAACAATTTTTGTCTTAAAATATATCTTGTTTTATATTAGTATAGCTACAGAACTCTCTTTTGGTTCCTGTTTTTCTGTTAACTTTAAATCCATTTGTGTATTTAAATCCATATTGTGTCTCCAACAGGCACCGTGTTGTTGGACTATTTACAAAAAGAAGAAGAGCTTTGCTTACTCAGTATTTCCTTCCCAAATAAAATTGGAACTTACCTTTTCTATCTTTTTGAAGAATGATATTGAAGTTACAGTAAACCTGTAAATTGCTTTTGGTAAGTCTGTCATTTTCACCACATTGTATCTTCCTATCCATGAGCATGGAATGTGATCTTTTGTGTCTCGGTTGTTCTGTACTGTCAAGTCAGAACCGACCCATAGCCGGCCCTCTGGTGGGTTTTCAGAGGCAGTTAATCACAGGGGAGATTGCCCATCCTTCTCCTACAGAGCAACTGGTGGCCTCAAACCAGGTGCCTTTGGGATTGCAGTACAGCTTCTTGCTACTAGATGACCAGAGCTCTCTAGTTATGTTTATTCCTAAATATTTATTCTTGTCGTTGGCTATTGTGAATGGTATTCCTTTTCTTGTTTTCTTTTTAGCGTGTTTTTTTCTTCTGTTGATAAATTGGACTGATATTGCTGTTGTTGTTGTTGGAAGAAGGATTGGCCATCCACTTCTGAAATAGCAGGCCTCTGAAAATTCTGTGTACAACAGAACACATTTAGATAACAGAAATGGCAAAGGAGGTTGAGTTTTCAAGTATGGAAATACAAAGGAAGAGGAACAGTTGTAAGCAGACACTGGTGATTGGGACATGGAATGTGAGAACCATGAATGTAGGAAAATTAGATATTGTTAAGGAAGAAATGGAACGCATAAATATTGATATACTAGGCATTGGTGAGATGAGATGGACTGGCATGGGGCATTTTGAGTTGGATGACCATATGATATATTACTCTGGAGATGAAAAGGTGAGGAAAAATGGAGTTGCTTTCATTGTTTAAAAAGTCATTGCTAGATCTGTCTTGAAGTACAATATTGTCAGTGACAGGATAATATCTATACGCATACAAGGAAGTCCAGTGAATACCACTATCATTCAAATATATGCACCAACAACCAGAGCCAAGGAAGAGGTGATAGAAGATTTTTACCAGCTTTTACAATCGGAGATTGATCGAACATGCAGTCAAGATGCAGTGATAATAATGGGTGACTGGACTGATATTAGTGTGTTTATTTTGTATTCTGCCACTCTAATGAATTGGTCTACAAGGTCTAACAGGTGTTTTTTGTTGAATTTTTAGGGATACACACACATATATACATATGCACACAAACAATCATACCATCTACATGTAGATATAGTTTTATCTCCTTTTTGTCAAAGTAGATGTCTTCTGTTTCCTTCTCTTGCTTTAATGCTCCATCACTTTCAAGACATTATTGATTAGGAGTTGTGATAGTGAGCATCCTTGTATGGTCTCTTTTGTCTCTCTCCATTGAGAATGATGTTGGCTATTGGTTTTGCATATGTGCTCTTAATTATGATGAGGAAATTCCCTTTTATTCCTTTTTTTGTTGAGTTTTTAATCAGTAAGGTGTGTTAGATGTTGTTGAAAGCCCTTTCATGTCATTCTTGTCCTTGTTTTATTGGTATGATGGGTTACATTGATTTTTTTTGTTCTGTTGAACCATCCTTGCATGCCTGTTATGAATCCATCTTTATCATGATGAATAATTCTTTTGATATGCTATGGATTCTGTTGGCTTGGCTTTTGTTCATGAGAGTTCTATAGTTTTCTTCTTTGGTGATGTCTAGCTTGGTTTTGGTATCAGGATTATGCTTGCATCATAGAATGAATCTGTGAGTGTTCTTTTTTCTACATTTTGAAATAATTTAAGTAGGATTGATGACATTTCTCTGAATGTTTAGTAGAATTCACTGATGAGAGTTCCTGTCTTTCCACATTCTCTCCAACATTTATTGCTTGCTGTCCTTTTAAACTTTGCCATGGCTACTGGGGTGAGATGGTATCTCATTGTGGTTTTGATTTGCATCTTTCTTATTTCCAGTGATTTTGATCATTTCTTCATGTGGAAGACTGTCTGTCTTTAGATAACTTGCT